ATTGTAATAAGAGATCTTTGGTGGCGGTCATCAATAGTAAGTAAATAATTTGTTAATTTTTTATTTTGTATACTAGTCAGCTAATTATGATACTTTTTTTAGACACGAATGTTCTTAAGAGAATATATTGATAAGCTATTCGAGGAAACTTTAAAAGTTGCAAAAAAAAGAGTTCGGGTTTATGATAATGACCATTTTGCATTAGATGAAAAAGTACCATCTAACGCACTAAGATGGTCGCTTGCTAGATATAATGGATCAATGATAACAGCTGTTGAAGAAGCATGCCATCGAAGAACCAATTCTTCTACCAACCTTTCGGTAACGGCAATTGATGATAACGATCAAGAAAGGATCGATGATAACTAGTTGGATAAATAAGCAAAAAGAATTCATTAAGAATATTATTGTAAGGATTTGTTTTATAGTTGTTTAGCACAGATATTAATCAGTAGTGAAATTTGTATTAGTGTGCATAATGGCATAAATAATTATATTAAATTATAAATAGTAATTTACCTTTTTGTTATAAAATCAATAAATTTATGTCAATCGGATACAGATATTAAATAATATTAACAATCAGATACCTATCAGTTGATATTAAATAATGTTAATCAGCTAAATTTACTTCACTCAGATATTCGTCCGATTGTTTAACAATTTATAAAATGAATTAAATATGTATATATTTTTTGTGCAATTATTATATCAATTGGTATAACAAACAATTAAAAAAATGCTAAATCAGATTATATTATTTAATACCGATTTGGTGGTCAAATCGCATCCCGATTGATGATTTAATAATCCCCTATTTGAGCCATAAATTTGCATCAATAGGTTACCAATCTATAATTCAAAAGGCTATTAATCTACATCATATCAGTGATAAATAAGTTGGTCAATGGATATCTGATTGGTGCCTGATTTGTCATTATTAGACCAGTGTATTATTGCTGATAGGTAGAAAAGAAATCAAAAAGGCAGAAAGATTCAGGATAATATATGAAAAAAGAGTATGAAAGTAATATAGTTTAAACTAATTTGACACTTTATACCTTATTCTTAGCAATCAAAAAAGTTATAGGCAGGATTGCAAGAATGGCAAAATATCAGCACTTTGTGTCTCACTAATAATTAAAAGTGAATAAATGGATTATGATACATTTTTAGCAAATAGATAAATTACAAATTTAGCACTTCGTATCTTATCTGGCAATTTAATGAGCATTTTTAAGCTTCTAACCAATTGATTCACCAAACTAAACCCTAAATATTCCTTGAAAGTAATGAAAAAATTACTCAAAAGTAAAGATGACATTACAACTAGTTGTAACCAGTAATAAATAAGTATTATATGATTAACTAATTGTGATATTAACAAAAATTGAGTTGTAATTAGTTGCAATTATTGATAAATAAGCATCATATGGTTGCAACTAGTTGCAGTGCTATTTTTATTTAAAAATAATGAGAAAGTTCTTTAAATAGGTAAGAAACTGAATCACATAATTAGTGCAATAAGGTACAGTAAAATTTTATTAATTTTGACCAACATTATTCTATATTTTTTTTCAAATCTTAAAGACATAATAACTTAGCATTCAGATATTTAATTTATGCAATATTAGTATCATTAGAAAATTCTTAACACTCTCTTCTAAATAAGATCAAAATCACATGAATTTAATTACACAAAACTAAGATATTTTGCTTTAAAAATTAGATCAAAAATATAACATAAAACTAATTAAAAACTGATCAGTAAATTAATTGTGTCACTCAATTATAACATGATTTTTGCAATTAATTTTGCCTAGAATTTTGGTTACAAAAAGCTATAAAGTATTAAAATCAAATAGATAGCTAGAAGATAATAAAAAAAGAACAGAATAATAAAATCAAGTAGATAGCAATAAAGTAATAAAAAGGCTATAAAACATAAAATAAGTAAATAGGTAACAATCTACTATAATTAGGTAACAATCTACTCATAACTAGATAACATTATAGTGTAATTGGATAACACTCTTATAAGAGTGTTATCCAGTTAATTATTTTAAAGTATTAGTAGGATATAACCAATTATAATACTATAAATTATTATTGTATTTTTATTTTTGTTATATTTAAAATGATAATATAATACTAGAATTGAATTCAAATATTTAGCTAAAGGAAAAAATAAAAATTAATGTTAATATAAAATATACTAAATAAATTTAAAAAATATTAAATTAGATAAAGAAAATAATAAATTTTAATTGATTATCATAAATAATTATATACAATTATAATAAATTTTTTGTAATTTTCTTTATCTATTTTGCTAATTTCTAATAAATAATCAATGAGTATTTAAAATAAAAGGCATACTTGTAATTAATAATTTATTTATCATTTTCTTAAATAATTGTTTAATAATCTTTACTTATCAAATACTTTTAATAA